TTTTCATTCATTCATTTTCTCTTCCTTTCTCTTTTTTTAGCGTACAATTTAAATTATACTGTATAAATAATCTTTAACATTTTTACAAATTTTTACATACAGTTCAGTATTCCCCTTTCTTAAAATAGATTATTAAATTATAAGAATTGCCATAAGGAACATACAATTGAGTGTACGTAACACGATGCAGTTCTAACTATTCACATTTATCAGATCTTTGCAGCTTGAGTCTCAGCACTTCATTATTATGTCTCTTGTCAAAACAACATCACTTTCATCAAAATCATATCAATCATCATCCAAGAAGAAGCGACATAACAAGAACTGTCTACTGTTTTATGATTTTTAATTCATCCATGGTGGGCAGGACGTCGGCGGTTGATATGTCTGAGAGATTGGCACCTGATAATGCTGCACCGTTTGTGCAGGATGCTGTGGTCGCGGTTGTTGATGATGCGGCGGCGGTGGCGGTGGCGGATTGCAGATCGATTGCATCAATGGATGCGCGTTGTAAGGCGGCGGTTTCGTCGTATAGGGCGATATTTGATTGTATTCGACGTTTAACTGCTGCTCTAACACGGCTGTTTGAGTGGGAGAGCGATTACCATCAGTGGGACCTGAGAACAGTATCATACATCCTTAAAGATTATTGTCACATTGTGCATATAAGAATTATAATAATGTGCAAATTTATTATATTTCTTTGTCTTTTATTGGGTTGTCCGGAAAGTTCGTGCCGACTAAAATTTAAATTTTATACATTTATTAAATTTAAATTTTCTGCGTTTCAATTTTCCTTCAACATCGGCACGAATTTTCCAGACAACTCAACATATCGAGAAAAGGCTGATATACTCATAAATTAATAATTTACAACAAAAAAAACTTAACTTAAAATTCAAGATTTTAAGATAAAAATAGTTTGATGTGACAAATAAATCAAATGCCTACCTCGTGACCTGATCTGAGGTGGAGGCATGTTAATAGGAGGTAATCCAGGACAAACTGTAGGAGGTTCCCCTTCTCTTGGAATAGGCGGTGGTCTACCCCAAGGAATCCTCATGTGATGATTTTGCCACGGCGCCTGCGGCGAAGATGGAGGTAGAGGTGGACCGTTGCCAACATGAATATTTCCAGATTCCGCCATTACATTTTGATCATTTCCTATTTACAAAATATATCAAATAATTTAAACATCCATAGAAAATAAAATTTTCTATGGATAGATATATTTCTTTTCTTTTATATCTCTCATATTATACATTGAACATATTATACATTGAACGTACCTGAAGATAATCCTGCAGGCTTTTGGTCCAGATTTCGTTTCTCACCTAAACGATTAAGACATAAGATATGAAAAGAAAGATACAAAACATTCTTAAATAACTAACATAACATAATATTGTATTTATAAATATGGCAAATTATGCGATGAAATATTGTAATAAACTTAAAAAATTCTCACTGTATTCAACAAAACAGGCACAATTAATCTTGACAGTTTCAATATCTATTGAATTATATGTTCACAAACAAAAAATGTAAACTTAATTTTTTTTCTAAATTTGGATGTAAATCTAATTGTAAGAAAATTGCTAAGACTATATCTGTATTATAAGACTGCTGCCGGTTTTCATCTTCCGCTTGAGACGTGTCACTGTGGCAATAAACAGAAATTTAGTTTTCTAAATTTGAATTTAATCTTACAAGACTAAATTAAATATTAGGACAATATTTCACGCCATTAACCATTGCCAAATCTGCAGAACGATTTGGCAATTGCTATCTGAGTCTGAAAGCAAGCAATGCAATTTTTACATTCTTATGTGTTATTAGATGGTTACCGCTTATCAATTATACTAAAAATTTAAAGCCATACAGTTATTTGCTATCTGGATATAAAGTAAATTTAATTATTAGAACTATATATTCTTCAAATTTCTTCCACTTTTTCCATTACAGATAACTGCTCAGAATACTGCAACACAATAGAGACGATATAATATCCACAAGTTATGTGTTATTTCGTATTAATGTTATATAATAATAACATTAAATATATACATCTAATTAAATGTAATAGTCATATATTCCCTCCTTAGTCTTTCTTTGGTGAAGACGCACGTTTAACCTAAGGAATATAAAAGTCCAAGGCATTGAACTTAAAATAGTAATATCAAAAATATATATGTATAATATGTCTTAATATAATCCTATTAATATTAGATATAGTTAATAATGGATAAACAAACATTGAAGTAGAAAATCACAGGTTACACTTGCATCTGAAAATGCAGATTTATTTAATAAAAAGGACACTAAAAAAAAGCGTTGAAATTAATATACTTGAGACATCGTCGCAACTATATAACACGTGCAATGCTTTTTTGTCTAATCTAAAATAATAATAATAAATAAATTTAAAGATAACTATATAAGCATTCTATGCACACTATGAGATTGCAATAATCCATGTTATTTCCGGACGTTCGTCTCTGCAGGTATCCTCAACAAATGCATAAAAAAGCAATTTGCTAAGACATAAATTAAAAGATCAAGGAAAATTTTTATAATATGCTTATCACAAAATATTTACATTAATAATATACTACGGTCTAAGAGTATTAAGAAAATAGTGCTAGATATCTATCTGAAACATATTTTATTTTTCCAAATTTAATTACTTATGATTTAATTACTTAAATTACTTAAATTATACATCCACATAATTGTATATTAAATTTAAAAAAATAAAAAAATATAATTGCCAATAACAAAATTGTATTAAAGAAGAAGTCCAAAGTCTTAAAAAAATAATTAAAGATAAATGCTTCCTTCAAAAATACAATCTTTCTACTGGCATATCTTTTTATAACATTCAATATGACATTTCCAATTTCCAAAAGATATCCAGCAATTTTTCAAACTAAATACTCTTAGTTACAGACCTGGATGTGGAGGTGGCATTAGCATCTTGTTTCGATCTCCATGTGGTAGACCCGCAGATGTGGGTGATGGACCATGTAAGACTTGCTGTTGTCGATCACCTTCTCTGCTTAAACAATGCAGGTGCGAATTATTAATTCCAAAATAATAATTTTACAAAAACGTTTCAAGCATTAAGACAAAAATCACCTGATGCACACCCTCGGATACTTCTGAAATGTGGAAAATATCTGGTTTTACCAGATCACAGTTAATTATGTGAAACTTACATTTAGAATATTCCAAAGAACGTAATTGTAATGTCGTAGGACATTATAATATACGTTCAGATAATCTATGTATTATTATTTTAATTTCTATTCTGCAAAGTAGTAACTATCGTCGCACATTCCATCTCTTTTGGCTCATTACTTATACTAAAAGAACATGTCTTGGTGATTCTGGCAAAAGCTTTTATTTAGTGAT